CCTGGAATCTGAGGGAGGACTTTGTCCTGATCCAGTCTGGATTTACTGATCTCTTTGATAGACTGGGAAACAGGCAATGTGCTAACCAACCTCGACAAGTGATTGGCTAATTTAAAAACAAATCTAAAAAAATAAACCACAGCTTATCAATTATTTATTGACCATGCGTGCTCCTGTTTATAATTTACAGTGTCTTATGTTTGATTTATTTGGGTTTCTTTAAAGTACAGTAAAGAACGTTTGGAGTTCATTTTTTATTTCTTACTAGCTTTATGCATACGCAATTTTCTTTAAATGCTTTGTCATAGCATAGTTTTGTGAGGCATGTTTTTCGAGTTACTACTTGCTTCTGTGGAATCACAGGGTAATACCGCAATAGTTAGCGTCCGGTAGTTACACCAAAAAAAGATAAGAACCACTTATATCAGACTATATATGTAACATGATATGTACGTTAATCTATGTCAGTGACTGAATTCACGGCTGCACCTCACAGAAGTGTACGTATGTAGCTTTAGCCCTTAATCTTATAGGATCTCCCATAGTAATTGGAAGACTTGCTGGAAACCTAATGTGTAGAAAGAAATAACGTTAGTTTTATCATCAAAATACAATCCAATAAATCTGACTTTAGAGATTCTTCTCTCAGATTTTAAATGTTGCAGCTTCATGATGCAAAGTGCTGGTTCAGTGTAAATTCACTTAGCTGTTTCGAAGCTGTTCTGTTTGAAGTGATCCTATCAGAGTTATTTGAAGTGCTGCCTTCCCAGAAATTCTATGTATATTATGTGACAGCATACCTCAGAAAGCTAACTGGCAAGGATGATTTGGTCTGGGTAAACTTGTCCTGAGGAGGAATTATAAAGGTTGAAGTCTTACATTCGAGAGCTGGGAAGGAGGCAATGAGCCATACAAAGTCATCAATATAGAGCAAAGTATATTTAAAGCTCCTGTTTAATGTGTTTACTCTTTCTGTCCCTCAAACTGTTAACCTGTGAGGACAGCGCAGAGGGGAATTCAGGACTGGTACACTTCATACAGTGAAAGACTCATTGTGGGAAGAGGTTGGTCAAAAGACTATGGTCTTTCTATTCAATAACAACTTGTTCTCTTCTTCCAGTGTTGAAACATTGGCTGACACTTATGTTTAAGAGTTTGTTGATTGATCCTCCTGGTGGTAGGATGAGAATTCCGTGAGAACTGAAGAAATCTGTATTGCCCACTACATTCATACCATTCAGGCATGGGCTTGTTGCAGTTTGACTCTTGAGGTGTAGTCAGAGCCACCTAAATTGATACAAGCTGTACCGTTGCACTTTTCTGCTCTTGTCATAGTTGTTATGCCGCCACTAGTGACAACGTCACTGCACATGAAACTGGATCGAGTAATTAATCTGGCTGTGGGAGGGGAATTTTTTTCTTTAAGAGTTATTTGTGCTTTCCCTAGCACCAGTATGCCAGACAATATTTTGCCGTTTGAAATAATCTGTCCTAAAGTGCATCTTTATATTTAGCTTTTCCTCCACTTCTATTTACTAAGCTAGTAAATGGCTATAAGGCAAACAGTCAGTTTTCAATTTTAATTTGAGTGCTACTGTTATGGAACCTAATCTCAAAAAGCAGGAGGATATTGAAAACTTTCTTCAGGAAGGAAGTTTTCTTTCTTTCCATCACTTCAGATGCCTTTTTATGTAAAGGTGTTTTTCCTTCTGGCTCTCAAATCTTTTTTTTTTTTTTTTTCTTTTTTTGAATCAAATGAGACTTTGGGGGAGGTGGTTTTTCACATCAGTAATATTCAGCTAGTGGGTGTCTGGCTTCTTGTGTAATTCTGCACAGTGAAAAAAGTTGACGGGAGAAACTGCCAATTTTGTAGTGTTAGATAAAATGAGAACTTGTTTTTCAAGCACAGAGATGTCATTTGTGACTCTCGTATTCATAGAGTAGTAGATACTGAAACCAGAGAGTTATGAACACATGCATTAATTCTGTTTCAATGTTGACGTCAGGCAGGCTTGTTAATGTACAGACTGAAATAAGATTAATATCATTTACATTTTGGCAATGTTTGTGCTTCTACGTACCCTCTGAACAAGGTGGAGGAAGATTGTTTTTTGTTTTGATAAACGTAAAAATAGGGACCCTTGATCTTCCAAGGAGGAGATCAAAGTGGTGACATGGCAGTCTTTAGTTCTGACATTGCTCCTATAAATTACCTCCAAAATAAATCGGTAGTTAGGTTAGAATTGAATATGGTTACGAAAGATAGTACGTTTCCCCAGAAAGAAGATCTGTAATGGAATGTCATCTGATACTAGGTGTTACAGTTCCCAAAGATGCAAAGTGGCACTGCTGCTGAAGCGCTCAAGACAGACATCTCTGCTTTGTCGTAGCTGATGTTAATTGGCTGTATGTTGGGGTCTTTAGAGGATGGATGGAGTCCCCTCGCATGAGCAGATTGTTCCACCTCTTTCTTTTTGCTGGTTTTAGAGAGGACTTAACTTCAGCTTACAAGTGTAAACTGGTTGCTTATGCTGCAGAGGGTAGAGTCATTTTGCTTTGCCAGAGTCATTAGAGTTCCACTAACTTTCAGTGGTCTGTGCAGCATGTCAGAGGTGTGCAAGTTGCTTCAAGTGTTTGAAATCTTAAACCAAAAGAAGGCAGTTTGATGAAGACACAAAGCAGCCAGTAAAGTTGTTGAGAGTAGGTACATCTGTGGATGAAAGTGCATGTATTTTGGGTGTCAGTAGTCTGTTGAGCTTGTAAATAGTGGTGTTTGTTAAATAAACTTTTTAAACAGTGAGTTTCATGCTGTTGCTCTGAGACTGCTTTTACTCGATGTACAGAAAACATCAATATTTGTAATATTTTGGAGTTGTGCCTCGTGGATACAAATAGTATGGAAATGCGGCAATTGGGTAGTCAGTGAGAATGAGTGTGTCTGTAGATAAAGTGAGTAGGTACTGTTGTGTTTTGTTGGTATAATTCCTTTTCATCTTTACTTGGTGACTGTTCTGAAATGTGATAATCGCAGACTTGATGTCATTAACATTTTCAGTAAGCATTCACCTTATTACTTAACATGCATTAAAACTCCAGAGTTCGCATAAAGAAAACTAATGAAAGGGATAAGTAAATTAGATTATGCTCTTAAAAATTATGGTTGGGGTTTTTTATGCTGAGAAAAATCTCTGCTAGGTAACACAGTGGCGACTTTAAAAATTGCTTCATTGGCCTGTATCAAAATCATATAGGTTTCAAATACGGAGTTCTAAATAAATTGTAAGATTGGCTAATATTTGGTTTGTTTTTCAGGCTTTAGAAAGGATGCGTCCTTACCTGTGTGATAAAATCATAGCTGAGAGACACTTTGATTACCTACGTTCAAAGAAAATACTCACTAGAGAGGACACAGAAGAAATATCTTCTCGATCTTCCAGTAGGAAAAAAACTGGGAAGTTATTGGACTACTTAGCAGAAAACCCAAAGGGACTAGATGCTTTGATTGAATCTATCAGACGAGAAAGAACACAAAACTTCCTGTTACAAAAGATAACTGACGTAGTGTTGAAAGTCAAAAATGAAAAACTTGAAGCTCTCAAAGGTGAGAAGTTTTTGTAAGACATAAGTTTTATTTTGAGTCTGCAAAATTGAACTCCCAACAATTCTTTAAATGATGTTTCTTAGTACAGAGGTTTTAGTTTGGATTTTTGGGGGGTTTTTTGCTTCCTCTAGTGTTTGGGACACCATTCCTGGAAATATCACCAGTTTGGGTTTAAGATCCGTGCATGTATTCTAGCTTTGCCTTTTTACTACCCGAACACATCATAACAAATTGCAAAAAACCCTGTCATGTGTTGTTACGATGGGTAAGTCTGTCTTTACATCTCAGTTTTGCTTCTATGAGGTTCTCATTCAAAATAGGTGGTTATCTTCCATCTTGCATTTCTCTTGCAGCAATTTACTGCAGTGGCAGGATGCTCTGGTTTTGTTAAACTTTGCACCTCAGCAGAACATAAGCTAGCAAATGCAACCTGAGGGGAATTCTTCTGTATGTGTTCAATACCAAAACTTAAAATTAGACACTGTAAATGTATGCATGTGTTACATCACACAGGTAGAGAGGTTTTGTTGACATACAAAGCTTGAAGTGACTATATGTACTCATATTTTAAGGCAGATAAAGAAAGTATAAGCCTTCTAAACCAAAACCCTTACTTCCCCTTCCACCCCATCAAAAGAGAAATAAAGAAGGAAGAAGTACATTTTAACCCTAGAGATGGAAGGGCTGAAGTTTTCTCTAGCTTCAGGTAAAACAGCCGTCAAACACAGTCCACTTTGGAGTAGAACCATGTAGCTGAAGCTTTTAAAAGTTTGAAGAACACAGTAAGAAAAATCTATCAAAAGATAGGTCAAAGGGCTAAAGTGACTTCCACAAATGAAGCTTAAATTATGGTGCATCTTTGTCAAATAGTAGCTGATAGAGAGGTCATTCACGTCAGCCTTGATAACCTGCATGTATTTTTTAATTTGTCATGAATATTGGGATGTCACAGGTGAGATGAAGAGGTTAGTCTGTTAAAAATATAGACTATTGATCTTTGACTATTTTACTGATGTTGTCAGAGCACAGTTTTAAGAGTGCATCATATTGTCATTAAATCCAGTCTCTGGTTTTTTTCTTAGGTCTAAGCTGCAGCACCTGTATGACCTCACTGTACGGAGGAACAAATAATCTTTCTAGATCATATTCTGATGAATCTAATTTTTTTGATAAAACAAAAGACAAAGAATCTACCCAGATACATCATCCAGAAGAAGATTATAGCACCGCCGCATTTGTGTCTGCTGTCTCTCTTCACTCGATGAATTTACCGATTGCCGAGATGGGAAATGCAGAGTGTGTGGTTTTCTCAGCCACCCTACCAGGGCCTGGCGACCCCGGTGCACCCCCCCTCCCTGCAGAGCTCCAGTCAGAGCAGCAAGAGCCATGTACTAGTTCAACAAGTGACAATTGCTTTTTGCCTTTGAGGTCGCGTTCTCTTCAACCACAGTGAACGCAGTGACTTTTGACTGTTCATCCAAATGGTACTGAAACTTTGTGTGATGTCTTGTAAGGGTTAAAAAATGTTTTCAAACTGCTAACTAGCAAAGTCAGAGGAAACAATCTATGCTGTTCACAGTTTTTAGGGAGTAATTTTTTTGTAATTGGGTGACTCCAGAGCCGCTTGGGTTTATGTTCTTTAGGGAGCTTTTTTCAGAAGATCATGGTGTTACAGCAGTGAAGGTTTGGTTTTCGACCATTTATTTAATATTTCACACTTAGTTGCAGATATTTAAGTTACAGAACAAATAGGGTTTTTTCTTCCTACAGAAACTAACAAATCTGTTTTTCTTAAAGTTTCTGGGATGGGTGAATTGGGAAAGATGGTTAGGAAAAGTATTGACTATTGAAAAATAACTTTCTGAACTAAAAGTTTAAGCTCACTTACCAAAAATCTTGAACTCATTTACCAAATTAAATGTTTTTCTGTAGGATAAATTCTGCCCTCTGTGTATGTGTGTGCAGCTCCATTTGCGGGGTGGGGGGTGGGGGGGAATCTGGCCAGATCTGTAGCTATGCTTATTTGCAAGAAGTCTCTTAATTGTCTGAACTTTGTTCTCTGTCCTACCAGTAAATCAAAAGGCACTCGGTATCGCGGTGATTCGCATTAGCAATTATAATTCCACAAGTCTTAGCATATTATTCCTGTATATTTGCTAGAGAGTTCTGATTTGAGATGCACTTTAAATATATATTCTCACTAGTATTGTAAAAGGAATGTAAACTGCTGTAACGGCATCATGTGGGCTTTAAGAAAATGTATTAAGTAGTTTGTATGTTTTTGTCCCAGTAGGTAAGCAGAGGAGGAGTCCTGTGGCAAGAAAGTAACTGTAACTGCAGGACTCCTGGAAATGTTGCACTTCAGATACCTACTCTTCAAAGCAGATAGACAGGTTTACATTTCAAGTTGTTTAGAGTCAAATACATTTAAAAGTATTTCAACATGGGAAGGTTCTCATTTCTTGACACAATGTAACATGCTGTGTTCCTCTCAACTCTGGCGTTGTAATCTACTTTTTATGAAGTGGCTTATAATCACTTAAAATCACTAGGCAAAGATAAACTCTTACTTGGAAATGCATACAGTTGTGTTCTGCAGTACTACACTTTAAAGCAACGGGGTGTTTTCGGTATATCAAAGGGTAGGTTTGTATTTAAGGCTTTAAATTATTTTGGCTCTCATACAATGCTATGGCCATGTAATTCCATTCAAATTCAAACCTAGGTGATAGTCCTAAACTATGTTCTCCTTCTGTGGAGACAGGCCATCTGCAGGACTTCAATATGGTCTCTAATTATTTTTTTTCCATGTTTACTCTGGTTTGGGAAGTAGGTTAAAATAAACTGCAATGCTCAACAACACTCCATACTTACTATATGAATAGCTTACATTCGATGAAGATGTGGACTTCTGTTTAGTATTTGTAAAAATCCTTGGCTTTCTTGTATACATCTAAGGTTATAGACTGCCAGGACAGTGAAAAAGCTTTTCAACAAAACTGCTTCGTTCAGAAGGCACTCTGGAAATTCAGTGCCTAAATATAGAAGCAAAATTTTTCTCTCTGACACGAAATTAAGAGTAGGCTTCAATCCCTCTCTTCCATTAACTTGAACTGTAGTTGCACATACTTGAGATGTATCAAAATCGATTGTTTAAATGCCCACTGTAACCACCTAAAGAGCTGTGCTTAGGTGTGGGTCCCTTCATGGATCCTTGTAAAGGGAGGAGAGTGAGCAAGCTTGGCCTTAACTGAAAAAGAGCACCAGCTCAGGGCGAAGACAGCCTTGCAGGTCCCAGCCCGAACACATGAGGTGTGCTGCCTGCCCCTCAGCATGCCGCGCAGCCTGCGGGAAGCCTGCCTGTGCAGGGATCGCTCTGCGGTGGAGCCTATTAACCTGAGACTTTACTGAATGTATTCTCTTACCAAATGTTTATAACATGCATTTTTTAAAACATTTTGAAACATTTTTATCACAACTTTTGAAATAAATTCTTTTGTACAATTGCCTCTTTTCCTACCTGCCTCTCTCATTACTAAAATGTACAGGCTGTAAGAGCAGTTCATGGCAGTATCTGGATGCGTGGTTTTGGTTTTGTGTGTGTGGGAGGCTTTTGTTCCCGTTCTCTTGTTAGAGAGGTTTGTCTTTGGTGGAAAGACTGACTTAATGTGAAACACCTGTGCCTGCAGGACCGTGTTCAAGAGCAGTGTATCGGGAGAACATGCATGTCAAATTAAGACCTCATCTGCTTAGCTACACTTTCTGTGGTTCATGACTAGTATTGCTAACCTGATTCCTAGTTTGGGGGGGGTGGGGGTGTTATATGACTTGATTGCTCAACTTCTTAAAGATGTGAGAAGTGCTGCTTCCAGCCATGCGTATATTGACTTCATTCTTAAATTAAGATTTTTATTTTTATTAATAGCAAGGCAGAAACAAAACCTTTGAGTGCTGAGGAACATGACTCAAAAAAGGATTAGCAAATGTTGCAGGGGCCATGGAGGCTCACTTCAGCGGTTGTTTTCATTGTACTTTGTGTGTAGGGTTTATTTAAAAATAACCACTATAGTATTGATTATGAGAGATCAGCTGGACACAGGTTAGTGTATTTACAGTAAAGGAATTGAACATATAACTAAAGCCCCTTCCTTAGACCATATCCTGCTTCTGTGGTAGTATATTTAACCTGAACGGTACTAGGAAGTATCGTAGCTGATGCAAAAACAGGTACATGGGCCTTTTTGACAAGAGAAGTCTAGTAAAAATTTTTCCAACAGCTTTGAAAAATCTATTTCAGTAAATAGCCGATGTGACTGCTTAAGCTGGAACTGGGCAGGTGATGCTCAAAGCTTTATCTGCCCAGGGTTAGCTAATGCTCGAACATTAAGGAAAATGTGTTTTCTCTCTACTTAGGCCTGCAGGTGTGAAAAAGGAGAAATGGAGGTCGTCTCGGTTTCACGTCTGATTTTCTGTATCTGTCTATGGTCACCTAGAGGGGAAAGAGCCCCGGGTTCCTGGGGGCGAGCCCCGGGGCGGACGCGGGAAGGTCAGCTCTTTCACCTCCTCCCTCAGCGGATCCCCTTCGCCACCTACAAACTGGGACACCCCCCCTGACACGAAACAATCGTGGGCTTCGCCTCCCGGGGGCCAGCGCGGAGCCCGG